CTTCATGTAGGATGAGCTCTCAAAGTCCCTTCTTACACCAGGGAAAAATGCTGATCTACTACCAGGGGCTCCATAGAGTGCTGAGGCCTCCTTATTGACATTCACGTTCAGTGGTCTGGATCATTCCCATGCTGGCCTCCCAGACAGCAGTCTGGGGTCCATGTGCTCCCCCTTGTTCAGGTTAGCTGTTTCTGGGGTTTCACCAGCCTGGTCATGACCCCTTTGACCTTCATTCCTCCCTCTCTGCAACTGGATTCCAGAGTTCAGTTCAGTGTATAGCTGTAGGTGTCTGCCTCTGCTTCCATCAGCCACTGGATGAGGGCTCCTCATGCTCCCAATTAGCTCAGGAGATCCTGACTCTTCCCATTCTCCAGGGTCCACACATTTTTCTCTTAGAGTCCTTCTTGTTTCCTAGTTCCTTTGGTGATGAGGATTGTAGGCTGGTAATCCTTTGCTCTATGTCTAAAATTCATATATGAGTGAGTACATACCATGCTTGTCTTTTTGTGACTAGGTTACCTCATTCAGGATGGTTTTTTCTAGTTCTATCCACAATACACCATTCTTAAGTAGGTGTGGTGGCACATACCTTTAATCTCAGCACTAAGGCAGCAGAGGCAGGCATATCTCTGTGAGTTCAAGGCCAGCCTGGTCTACAAAATGAGTAGACATCTAGGAGCTACACAGAAACCAAGTCTCAAAAAATTAAAACAACAACAATATCTTTTCATAAATTGCTTTGGTTGGGCGTTTTATTCTAGAATAGGAACAGTAACTAATATGACAGATAAAACTATCATTCTAGAGAAAGATATAGAAAGCATAAATAACCATAACACTAGTTCACCAGGATTATGAGTTCACTTCATAATAGCCTGATGTGTATGTATGAGAATGTGTACATGAATGCAATGCCCACGGTGACCAGAAGAGGGCAACAGATCCTCTGGTGCTGGAGTTACAGGTCCTTTTGAGTCCCTGAAATGGGCGCTGGGAACTGAATTCTGGTCTTCTGCTAGAGTAGCAACACTCTTAACCACTGAGCTGGCTCTCTAACCCTGAGTTCACATTCTTGCTCCTGAGTTATGTGTAAGACATTAAGCAAGTCCCATTAACCTCCCAAACTACCAAGTTTCTTGTCTGTAAATGGACAGTAGAGTTTGGTCAATAACAAGCCAGCATTTATAGACTGTTTAACAAGGCCTAAGCTCTATTCTGTACTTCATTTGTTTGTCACTGGGGCCCAGTGGGGCAAGTATGTACAATTACTATTCTACAGATGCCAGAATCTAGGCAGAGCTCTTTTTGTCATGAGATTAAATGAGCTGTTATAAATAAGGAATTCATCAAGTATCTGGGATATACTAAGTTCTCATCGGAGGCTACCCAACTTTATATAATAAGACTATGTGAAAGCTTGGGCTGGTAAGATGGGTTAGTGGGTAAAAGGGTTTGCTGCCAAATTTGATGGCCCGTGGTCCCTCCTCAGGACCTGAATGGTGGAAGGAGAGAACCAACTTGCACAGTTTGTTCTCTGACCACCAAATGATGTACACTGTTGCATCATTTCCCCTCCATAAACTAAATAAATGATCATAAATTACAAATATGTAAAGGTATTCAATGACTTTATAGTGCTAAAGGAGGAAGAAGCAATTCTTAAGGATGTATTTCAACAACTGTAATAAGGCAGGCCTGGTGTCTTAAGTGTCAGTTTAGCTACTTGGGAGGCTAAGATAGGAAGGTCAAAAGTTCAAGATTAGCTTGGCCTGCAGAGTGAATTCAAGGGCAGCTTGAGCAATTTAGTGGAACCTTGTCTCAAAATGGAAAGAAAAACAATAGTTGGAAGTATGTACATCAGTGGTGGAGCATCTCTCTAGGATTGCTTAGTACCAGGGGCTGGGGGTGTGGCTCAATGGAAGAACACCTGCTTAGAATTCCCCAGTGAGGGTCTGGGGATGGGGCTCAGTGGTAAAGCCCCTGCCTAGAATCCCCCAATGCGGGGCTGAAAGGCACTTTCCTAGCTAGCATACAGAAGCACCCATGCTGCAGTGCGGGGAGCTGTAACAATGATACTTTTTATTTTTCATTCATTGAAACCTTGCACACATTTAGCTGTATTTCTACTGTTCTGTTGCAGCCTACTGAAACAGAGGAAGGAAGACCTGCCATCAACCCCATTTTACTGTTCAGTATCTGTAACTACAGAGAAGTGTTATGTGAAGATTTCATCAATCATGAGACAGGGGTGGGATTCAGACCAAGTCAGGCACAGCCATGGGGTTCTGGCTGGGAGCCTGCAGTAACCACAGAATTTCCTGGAGCCTCAAGCAGCAAGCATGAGGGAGGTAAGGCTGGAGATGAGAGTCACAGCCTTCAGTCAGGGCTTGTCCCTGACAGCAGGGGCTCCACAGGAGGGCACACAGCAAGAACAGAAGATGGCTGGGGTGCCCAAACCTGGGCAAAGACCTTCCAGACACAGCCTATGCTCAGAATGGAGAGGGGACGATAGTATAAGAAGATTTGGATTAACACAGCAACAAGACCTGCGGATATCTGTAAGTAGATTGATGCCTTTCTATTGTGTTTGCCTCGGTGTTAAGAGGATCTAACACTCAGGCGTCTGTGAGCCTTGGCAGTGGAAGAACCATTGGCTTATTAAGGGGATCTGTGGCCTGCCTGAGTATCAAGTTTATTGTTCTAAGCTGGGAGG